AATTATCAACGGCTCAAGAAGATTGAAAACTAGAGAAGATAGAAAAGGTACCAGGTAGCATAAGTTTATGAAATACAACGCTAAACACCATTCTACAAATTAACACAGAAAATCGTCAGTTGCAAAGACTCACAAGGAAATACTCAGAAAGAATTGATGTTTCATATTTTGCTTTATACAGTGTAAGACATGTCAGTATTAGAAATGATTCTGTACTCACAACCAGTAATTTATGAAGTTTAGCTCGCTGGTTTATGTTCACCAACCATAAGGACAATACAATTACAAAAAATTGTTCCTTAAACATTTGCAACCAATTAACACCTGCGTGATATTTCAACGTGCGAAAGTAGAATTCCTCAGTTTTTATTCCATAAGAACGCGTGTAAGTGCGAGGGTCATTAATGTATGAACTAAAGAGCAGCTGATTCACATCGCCTTTCTCCTCATCGGATGCAGAACTAATTGGCAGAGATGGCGGGTATTGGCTTAGAACCATGCAGCCATGAAGTGCAGCGAAGGAACCGTTAATCATATTGTCTTAGCATTGATTATTTGTGGTCAATGTAGTTATTATTAGCTTTGCTGGTGATTCAAAACAGGGTACGACCACAGAAAATAAAGTAAGTTCTTCAAAGTTACGGTAGAAATATATTTATCAGACATTTATTTTTACAGAGCACATCAGCACAACGTAGTTTCTATAAATTAATAGCCTCCACAATAAATTAACACACTTAGTTTTTTTTTTTTTCTTCAGTTGTATGACGGAGAAAACGTTTATCATCTAGCTAACTAAATAAGGGGTAGGCCTAAATAAAAAAACGTATTGTGGTATTCTTGTTGTGGATACTAGCATAGCTAAAACACACTCCCTACTAGTCAATATTTACCTCTCAAAGGTCCATTTTAGAACTTTCAAGGCTTGTAGTAAAACTCATGAGTCAAAATAGCAAAACTATATTATTGCCTAGGCGAAATGTCACTATATCGATAAATCTTAATTTGATAGAGCAGTTTGAATTGAGCAGTGGTGAACCAAACAAACAGACCCTGGATTTGTATGGAGCATTTGGTATAGCGGAGAATGATCGCCGAAATGCTTTTAATGAAGGGAGCTCTCTCAAACTTAGAACATACTCCACCAGAGAGACCTAACCTTATACCTTTTCTGGATATGTGTGACTGCAGCGTAAGGTAATCTTAGACCGCCGTTCCACGGCATGGTTTGTTGATTGGCGGGTTTTGAACCCAGGGCCTCCAGAACCAAAGACTCTAACTACAGTACAATGTATTGTAGAGAAGACTGAAGATAGAACCACAGAGATGTCCTAAGGTGCGGCGTGGAGGCGAAGATGATGTCATCACTTCACAACTCACCTACTCAACTCGAGTGTTTTGGCTGATTGCTATAAATGTCGTGTTTTATGTGGCGTTTCAGTAGAAATATTAGTTTCATCCATTTCTCAAGCACTTATATGTGTTAATTGTGTGACTAGTGTTTCATCTTCATGTGAATTTTGAACTGAGTTATTTCGATTAATGTAATAGAATAATCAGAATTTTTCAGCCCATGTTAGTGTAATTATTTACTCTAATAGAGTTAAGAAGACAGTACAGCAGTGCTTAAAAATCGCCTTGCAGGCTACTGGAGCTGCATAAGTGTATAAACCTTAAAACAAACTAAAAGATTCATTGCCTGTACAAAATCTGTAACTTTTCATATGAATTCTTCACACCTTTACTTATAAGTTTTGTTTGTTAACCTTGTGTGAATGTATTTGCAACTAAATGCCCAAATAAGGAATTTTCTGAGAAAGGCTGTCGTAAAACAAACAACACATTGACATTCAAACGATTGAATTTCAGATATTTGTGTACAGTACGTGACAGTACTTAGAACATAGATAAAAAGTTTCATTTTTTTCATTGTACAATGACCTTTTGGAAAATAATCTTGGGAGATCTCTCCAAGCCAAGAAGGATTTTGTACGAAATTCCTCTCCAAGCGAGAGCCCTTCTTGTCTGGTATGAAGATTCCCTACCGCGAGCAGACCACTGTCAGCCCATCAGGGTAATGATAGGGTAGGCCTACAAGCGTCCTGAATATGATTTATTTCTTGTTCGGCCTCCTTCTGGGAAACTATACATACATCTAACCAACGTTGAAACGCAGTCTGGATAATAAGCTGGCTGCCCAAAGAACATTACAAATTACGGGATCAAAATGAATGTTCAACCTATACCAAAAGACGAGACAGCAAAGATTTCTTTTGCGAAAGTTGTAACGTCATCATTGTTTGATGAAAGTATTGTGGTTTTCGGTCGAGGAAAAGATAGGTTTGAAAAGATTTCTCGAGATTTTGGAAACATGTAGGAGTAATAGGTACATTTTATATGTTTAAACAAGCTTTGACTAAAAACACTATCGTAAAGTTTAAATTTCATTCCCATGTTAAATTTGGGTCCTGCTTTATAATGGTTAGAACTACATTAAATTAAGTGACACAGATTTTGCTGCTACTGTTACTGTTTCTCTCTTGCACAGAGAAGTTCCAAAACACCAACGTATTAAGCTCAAAACCGAAGGATCAATAAATGTAATCTATAGTGTATTTTATTTCACATACCATAGATTGAAAGCTAAAAGTGAAAATAGAACTTCAAAAGTGCAGCACTCTTAAAGAAATTGTTGTTCAACTGCGTTCAATGTGAGAAAAAAATTGGTTACAGCGGGTCCAAATAATAGAGTCAGTTTTCAAAATAAATGGTGCTAGATATTTAAATGGCACATACATTTATACGCCCCACAAGGTATTATCTTTGACTATGCATTCAGTGACTGGCTCACACAACAAATGTTCTTTTTTAAATTTAAAAAATGCCTACAGCTGGTCCATATAAATGGGATGTCTACTTCAGTATCCAATGATATAATCCAATGTTTATCTGTTGTTAGACAACAACACTATTTAAATAACTGTCCAATGATATTAGTTCCATTTATGGTTCATCAACCAAGAAGGTGGCATTTTGAAAAAGAACTTCAATCGCTTTGCAGTCTATGAGAGAGTTAATTCAAATACTTCTTGAGTATGAATATGGCTACAGTTGGTCCATGTAGATGTGCTACTTCAGTTTCCATTAGTGGTTGAGTTGGTTATAGTGCTCGCCTAGTAAACCGAAGTTCACCGGTTCGATCCTGAGAAGTGTCGTAGCTGGTCCTAAATGGCCCTAACGAAGGACACGACAGATCTTAGTCAATAAAAAAACAAAGAATGCATCTAACTCACTCCCAATTCATTTTCGGATTTAAATAGAACTTGAATGCGCACGCTAAACTCAATCAGCTTAACTCAGTAACAGCTGACTACCTCAGCAAATTCATACAGGTCGTTTCCTTCAATATCCAAAGTCAATTCAGGTAAAACACAATAAATCCACTCCACGTAGCGAATGTTGTGATGCATTTGTTGGGATTGTGCAACGTTCTAGTAGACCGCTTACACAGCTGTTGTTGGAATTGAAGTGTCAGCTGTGAATGATTAGATAGCTGTGTTGGCAGATGATAGATAACCTATCTCTCAACGGCAACCGGTAAACTCAGTTTTACTTGGTGAAAACTGTGTCACTAATCAATATTTGGCATCATTATTGGCTAAAAACACCATAAAATTCTTCTTCTAAAGATTCTTCAGGTACTACTTGATGGATTGCGATGGAATTTGAAGCATATGAATTCCTGAATCTCTTTAATACTATTATAACAACCGCTGATTTTGAATGCAGCGTTTATAGAATAAACTTATAATACCTGTTTTAGCTTCTTACCGAGTAAGATCAGTTGTTTCCGTAGCCAACAATTTGTTGTACAGATTTTACCAAGCTTAAGTCATGTTCCATATTTGTTGAATCGTTTAGTTCTCAGATCCGTTATTTTCTTTATAAGGCGAACGTTTAGCCCTAACTGTTGACATGCCGGTTACTTTCACAAGACAAACAAACTGCCGCAGCACATTCTTGCAAGCTTTGTGCAAAACCCGATGGCTAAGAGTTTTCCAACTTGTATGCACTTTACACTACTTGAGACTGTATGAAACAATTCCGAGACATTGACCTTAACATTTGGACATCTTCAACTGGATGTTTCCGGAATTAGTGCAGAGCCAATGACTCACCCAATTACCAGAGTTCTCACTCTTTGCTACTGAAATTTTCATCTCAGTATAAATATAACTGCTACAGCTTTTCAGAAACTTGGTAAAAAGCATTTTATTATGTTGTCGTACACTTCTAGATACTAAAAACAAACAAATATTAGATTTACGTAAATTACACAGCTTTTTACAGAATAAAATAAATGTAAAAGGCAGCAGCATTAACAGGACTGAAAGATTTATAACAGAAAAATAAATTGTGAAAGGGCTAATTATAGCTTAAATAGGTAAAAAATACACAGCTTCATTTATATCAAAGCAGAAAACCTGAGATATAAAGGCAATTTTGAACACATTGTAGACGCCAATGACACAAATTGTTGGTGTCAATTCATCAACTCAACATACTAAAAGAAATTGTAAAGGAACACTGTGAAAATATTAATTACATTGTTCATGTTAAATGATACAGTAAATAAAATTAAAACATTGAAGCCCAAAACCTGAACCTACGTATTGTAGACACACAGGATAGCAGTACCAAATGTTGGCGTCAATTCCATACAACTTCCTTTGTGAAATTACAAACAAAATATTGAGAAAACACTCATTATAGATTTTGTTTATAGCTCATCTCAACGATCAGGACACAACAATAAAAATATCACAGAACAAAAAAAGTGTAGGTGTCAATTTAGTTCAACCTGCTAGAAACCCAAGAACAAATCATTGCTAAACACTATAGCTAAACAAATTATTTGTTCATTCATCACATCACAAAATCTAAGGGCAACAGATGGCAAATCCAATTAAAACCAACTTCAAATCCACACAGCTTTTTACCTTTTGTAAAAACGAGTTCATCCATTTGGTAAAAGTCTTCTTCTGTATGTGAAGACGCTCTTCTTGGAGCGCCTTGATACGGCCCTGCTCAAACTTGAGGACATCTTCTCGCTGTGTCATGTCGTCGCTACTGGGTCCCGAGCCGCGCAGCTCATACTGTGTCTCTGTAACAAAATTTCATAAATTAGGTATCTAAAATGTTTCTTGGGTAAAATATGTTCCATTTAAGTTGCAACTTAAAGATCATAGTGACTAAGACCAAACGTACTCCATAACAGATGTTCGCACATTGTACAGTAATCAGCTGTTCTTGTCTCTTTGTTGGCAGAAGATTGTTTACAGAAAACGGTCGCTAAAGTCAGCTGGAGTGTGGTAAATTTACCAAACACTTTACAAGGCACTTTCTCCTCCTATACATAGTACATGGAGTAAGTATTGTTTTGATTGTTGTTGATGGTTTTCCCATAAAACCCCCAAAATAACGGGAAATCGGATTTTTACAAGAATGGTTTAAACGATTTTCATTAAACTTAAGTTTTTTATGGTCTTTTGAACTCCAAACCAAGATGGTAAATCCCCCAATGCTTAAAAACTGCAATTTAAAAGCTATTGCAATTTTGTTATTTTAGCCATGATAAATCATAGTTGCTCACCGATTCATAATAAGGGGTTTTGACAATGGGAGAAAGTATGTGTCAGATTGCTGATGCCGTTTATTTTCATAAGGCTTGAAATGAGGTTGATTACTGATTAGTCTGATTACTCTTATGAAGCTGCTACACAATAATATTACACAGGGCTCGAAAGGCACTGAACTATCACAACATTGGATCATGACTTTGGATATAGTTTTTTTGGAGCAGTGTAATTGAAAGTCAATTGCATGGGGTAAGCAATTTTAGTTTTTTATTAACTTCAAAGATTTGCTTCTTTAAATTGTGAAGAGTAACAAATTGTTTGCAAATTTTTCATTCACCTATAGACATAAGAATCCGAAGATCAACTACAATTAAAATCAACTGCACACGACACTATAAATAGCTTATGACCTCATCAGGGAGTGGCAGTAAAATAATAAGTCTTCAGCAACAACAGCATACAGTTAGCGATAACAGCCTGATACAACGTAGGTTATCAGTTATCACATAATGCGGGGTTCGTATCACAGGTCATATTAGTCATATACAAATTATATGAAATCTCATATTTAGAGGTACAACTTAAGGGGCAAACGATGACCTATCACGGTTATTAGAAAGTATGGGTAAACATTTTACTTTGAAACTTGCCGGCTATATGAAAGTCAAGATGGCAGAATAGTTTTTGTCCAGCACTGAATCCTAAAAAAATGTAAAATAGCTGTAAACCAGAACTGGACTTAGGTTTAGTTACAGATTCCCAGCTTTTTATTCTTCCCTAACCACTTTTATAGGTCTTTTCTTAATGATTTTGATTTCCAAGTTACAACACAGTTTAATAAAGTAGAGTGAGCTGTACGTTGAACTTTTACAGAAACGTTTGGGACTTTGTGGTTTCTTAGAAACCTCTAAAAATGGAAGACCAGATTTAGCAACCTTTATCTTGAGGTATATTGCCCGTAAGATTCCTTAGCGTTTAACCGGTAAGGCACTCAGACAAATTGGAACTATTTCAGTTGAAAAAAAATTCCGTATCTAGGTAAGTACCTAATAAATCGATGTATGCATGGGAAATATTTAAAACTCTCGCTGTAAAAGTTTACCCCTTATTTGAAACACCTGAACTCCACAGTCGTTGCCATGAATAATTTCGTTCTAAAATTCCACTTTCGTTTGGTGTTTTATTTAATTTTATTTGTGTATCAACGCTTTTAGTCTTTAAAAGTTTTAAAAGGGAACGGTCCAGTTAACGTAGAGATTTTTATTAGATCATTTGCTGATTAAGACTTTCATAGTAAATATTTAAGTGTGTGCTGCGATATTGGGTTGTTATGAAATTATTAATTGACACCAAATAACAAAAAATAGGATTTGGGTCCAATGATGACCTTGTTTTCTGTCATTGTTATATTTTGAATTCAATTTTCTCTGTACGCTTTGTTTAGGCTCCATACAGCATGAAATGAAAATTGCTTCATTCTAAGCTAGAAAACTACCGACCTGCAAGAGATGAACAAGTTCTCCATCCATGACAATTAAATAGTACGTTATTGGTGCGTATCCAATAACAATCTCTGATGTTGTATGAGCACAAAACAGCTAGTTGTATAGCTCATTGAGTTAATTGTGAAAGCCACATACATACAGACAATTAGCCAGATCAATTACAGTATAACTGACACCATTTTATGCTTGATCCTCATGAATTAAGTATGTTGTATTCTGCATAACCATAGATTCAGTTTAAGTAGGCCTACTCTGTAAAAAAGAAAACATTTGCAAACTACAAAATACATTATTTTAAAGAACCTCAGTTTATTTAACCGTGAATAAAAATAAAAAAATGGATTCGAAACCCTTGGGTGCCGATTTTAGCTTTAAAACACAAGAGCGTATATAAAATATGTGGGTAAAATATGTGTGTGTGTGTGTGTGTGTATATTATTAGATTTTTATAAAACTACAATAGTTATTTGTGATGTTCAATATCTCGCAATTGTTTCACAATACTTTATTTCGACATCTCCGTATCATTTGACAATTGTTAATTGTGTCAAGTACTATGGTACTCGAGGAATGGTAAATATATAATGTAGGTCAGATCACAATGACAGACATGTTTACTTATCAACGGGATGATCGCATTCAAAATAATACCTTTGTATTGTGTTTGTTCACCATAAGAACACGAGACACGGTTTAACTTAGTTGACGGGACTAAGTTCCTCATAAACAGTTTTTTTTGTGTGTTAATTAAATGACAGCAGGAAAGAAAAAAATAATTGCGGGGCTTTTCGATTTGCTTTGTAAAGAGTCCCAAATCAGGGAATATTTTATTCAGCTGTGAAACAAATTTTATTTAATCCTACTTTATGGAACACGGTTTGAGATATAAGGTATGGGACACGGTTTGAGGTATAAGGTATGGGACACGGTTTGAGGTTGTATAAGGTATGGGACACGGTTTGAGGTACAGGGTATGGGACACGGTTTAAGGTATAAGGTATGGGACACGGTTTGAGGTATAAGGTATGGGACACGGTTTGAGGTATAAGGTATGGGACACGGTTTGAGGTACAAGGTATCGGACACGGTTTGTGGTATAAGGTATGGGACACGGTTTGAGGTTTAAGGTATGGGACACGGTTTTAGGTATAAGGTATGGGACACGGTTTTATATTTAAGGTATGGGACACGGTTTTATATTTAAGGTATGGGACACGGTTTAATGTATAAGTTTACATTATACCATATTGTAATAATTTTTTGATATGTGTTTGACGTAGCTGTAATAATTGGATTTATTATGATAAGCGTAACTATTTACAGGCGTATGGTAGTTGAGGATCTGACCGTCGTGGTTAAATTAATTGTCTAAATTTGTAGTCAACGAGAACTATCACAGTCAGGATTATCAGAATAAAATAATGAACGGGATTTTATTTTTAAAGTCATGATTGTGAAGTTTTGATTGTTGGAGTAATGATTGTTATGTTGTGTGATATGTACGCGTGCAGCACGGGCCTGCCACGCGTGTTAATCATGAATTCATCCAGCTCATCGCTCTTCCTTTCCTTTTCAACACATCTGGTGTCTATTCTTTACTCGTTAAGCCATTTTTTACTAGATTGTGATGACACGGGCTGGGATTGATTTATTAAACCTTGTTGTAACTTCTGTTTACTTGTGCTCATACACTGGTTGGCGACATCCTTATTTGTTCAATTGCAAACTAAAAGTACACCGGTTCGATTCTGAAAAGTCAGTAGCCTTTTTATGGTTCGAAACTGGATACAGCTGTCCCTGATAATTATGCTTTAAATAAATGGTCCTGAATTATGAAACAGCTGATCTTAGTAAGTAACAAAGCTACACAGATCATCACACAAAATTCCACACTCATATATGGGCAACGCACTAGGTGGCGTCCCCATAATTTGTTGGAAACAATAAATGATGCTATTGCTTTTTCAACATCTTCGATCAGCTAAAGACAATTTTGTAAAGTATATTTCCGTCCAGTAGGGGGGCAATTTATGGTTAAACGTCGACTTCTTGTGCATTCACCAAACTACTATAGCTTATACAACGATCTACTTCTAAACTACACTTTCCTTCAGGTATTACAACCAAATAGTGAATCATCACAAATTTAAAATCTACCCTGAAAAAGAGATAAACATTATACTCTGCGCCAAAGCTGGTGGCGGCTGAGGGATTAGGACGGCCAGGTCGGTGAGCAGCTCCCAAGATGCATGGAGTAAAAGTCTTCATAAAAAAAGTCTGGAGCCTTTTACTTCATACATCTTGAGCAGCTCCGACCTATGTAGTCCTACCTGGCGGTCCTAATCCCTCAGCCGCCACCAGCTTTGGCGCGGAGTATAGTGTTATCGACATTTGCGCATTCAAACGTAAACAACATTAACCACAACAGACTACAGACTTCAGATGTCTATATACAACGAGAAACCTAGTCAACGATTAAACGCATAGTCATATTTCAACCGTCTTGATTTGATATTTCAAGCTGATTTGAAAAAGTTAACTCGCCCAACATTGATTCACAGTCATATCGTACTAAATTAAGTACACGGGCCAGAGCACCAACTGGTTCACACATTATAAGGAGAGTTAAAACCCCCTTGTTTACACACTTCACACAATATACGGTCTCAAGTGGTCGACAATCTTATGTTGACATCACAGTAGAGCGTTGTTTAGACTAACTCAACCAGCTGACATGGACACTCTAACAGCTGATCCGTCTACCAAACACAACCATTCCGATACGGCCATTTGGCATACAAGGCCAAAACACAATAGCGACTAACAATACATTCACATAACAAACGGCCAAATGGTTTCTACAAATGGTGTTTATGTGAAATGGTTACGCTGTTTCTTTCGTTGTAAACATTTTGGTTTGGTAAGTTGAGGATTTTGACTTCGTTGCTAGATTGGAAATCGTGTGAAAATGTTGGACAGCTGAAGAATGGTCAAATCGATTATATTTTTGCGTTTGAGTT